TCGCAGAGCAAAATAAATAAATGTTTATTAAAAAGCAGACAATTTATTCCCCATAATTTGTTAGGGATTTGTGTGATTAAGCAGTTGACATAGCCAAAATAAACATTGCGTTTTCGATTATTAACGTTTGAACGTGAAAAGATTATCGTTGCGTGGCTTCCGGTAGGTTCGTACAGACGTTGTACGTCTAACAAGTTTTTGGACTTAAATGTGACAGATATTCTCCGGCAAAGAATAAATTTAATTATTGCTGTTTTTGGAAGATGAGAACCCATCTGTTAAATCAAAACGCGTTCTTTCGACAGAAGAGATCAAATGTACCACAACCTTAGGTGGGCATAGATTAAAACAACGACAAGAGCACGATGGTACGTACTGTATCAGTAAGATATTGGTTTCGATGATCGCTTATTCTTTCGCTTCGCCGAAGACATCAGACAGTGTCTCCAACGCTCCCGATTCTTTGTCACCATTTGAGCTTTCAATAGACGATGGACTGGGTGTTGAAAAGAGCTATTCGAAACACTTGCTTCTGGTCGTTCTTGGTTGTTTCCGAAGTCTTCGACCCGTCCTCTGAGCAAGAAACCCCTTTCGCCTTCCTTTGTGGAGGCATTCAAAAAAATGCCCAAACTATCGCAGCTGTAATTTTTCACTCTGGAGCAGTAGCAGCTGTATAAAAGGGCACCCTCGAATATCAGAATTCCGGACCATCTCGAGACGCATGAGGAAAGCAATCATCTCAGATGGCCAACTTGGGCTGCCTGTACCCGGGTTCGAAACATTTCCGCCATGGTCCACGACTCATGACCGTAGGTAAGAATGGGGATGAAGATCGACTTGAATAGCGAGAGATTAGTCTTCACAATGGTTGGGCTGCTTCATTCAGAATGTTTCTGTCCTGTCAAATTGCCTATCGATTAGTCTATTCTATTTTCCATCACTGGTAAACACCAGCTTAGACATGCACCTCTCCACCTACTCCACTGCGTCTCCGTTAGTCGGAAGTGAGTAACGTACAGTAGAACGAGAGAGCACTAGGTCTTTCTTCTCAGATGCGTTCACATGAATGTCGATCACGTGGCACTCTTCTGTGAGCCTTACCAAGGAGCACTGTAGATCGGTATGCCAGTAAAACAAGGTCGTCTGCAAACCGCACTCTTCTCGTCTTCACATCTCCTACAGCGGTAGACTCATCGCCTTGGCTGCTCTTGACTATTCTATATAAGTACAACAGAAACCGGATACGGAACAGGAAGCAGCTTTGGCGGAGACGCTGGAAGGTTTGGATTTAACTCCATTTATTCTGACGCAGCAACTGCTTTCAACATGTAATGACTGGAAGGCTTGTAGCAACTGGCCATCGACTTCATATGCTCACAGGTTCGCCCACGGCTTGTTTCCAGGGATTTGGCAGTAGTCTTTCTCCGAGTCAGCAAAGCAGGTGTAAACCGGATAAGTAAACCCCAACGATTTTTTTACAATCTGGTATAAGGCGAAGACTTGGTCTGAGGTGCTTCGATCTGACCTGAAGCCATCGAACTCTTTTTGTATCATAGAGTAAGTTATTCCGCGGAACTTTCTTTTTATCACCTTAGCGCAGCGCAGACTTCTACCTGGAGGTTAAATAAGGTAGTGCCGAGATAATTAGAACGATCCGTGTGGTATCCTTACATGAACAGGGATACTACAGCCCCTGTTATCCAATCGACTTATGTCCTCCATTACAGTTTGACAGATATGAGTTAGACACAGCGTGTCTCGTTTGTCTAAGGCTCTACGCATCTTGGAACAGATTTCTTTGATTCCAGTAGCCCAACCGTCTTTCAGGCTTTCCACAGTATCTGAGACTTCGTCAAATAAGCGATTATTGTCCATTTCCTGCTGTCTTCTTGCGATTGCTCGGGGCAACAGAGTTTTTCAAAGTCCTCCCACCGTCGCCAAAAATATACCCTCTTGCTTTGTGCGAAGACGTCCTTGTTCATCAGGACTCTCAATATGCTTTTCGTTCCATCTCAGAGGCAGCAAACCGTCTGTCAAAATAGCTTATTTGCCGTTTCGTAAGTGAATCGCGGCGTCTTACCGAGCTTCTACTTGGGCCTGTGGCTTTCCTGCCGAACTGCGCGCTTTTAAGAACTGCATTCGAGACGAAGTCCTTTACTTCAAAGCGCCTTGAGTGCGACCTTCTCGCTGACATCCACTTGAACTTCTGA